CAAGTTGTTCGTATAAATTTTTAACTCCACTTACTCGAAATTGAAGTAACCGATCCCAAGTCAAGATAAATGATGAAGGTTTATCTTTGTTTTAAAAAAAAGTTTAACTAAAAAAAGGTTTACAAAAGATATATCTAAAAAATGTTTAGAAAATGTATATCCTTTTTTTTAAAGGTTTAGAAAATGTATAATATAGCTAAAAAAATATTTAAAAATCGAGCTCACGAGCCGAAGCTCGGCTCGACCCACGAGCCATGAGTAACGAGCCTCGTTACAAACGAGCACGAGCTCGACTCATGACGAGCACAAGCCGAACTCATGCGTATACGGGCCGAGCCGGCTCGACTGTCCCATTGCCAACACTAAATGTTGGTAATAACTGGTGGTGCTAGTTTGTGATGTGTGTAGATTTATTTGTGGTGACCCTCACTGGCCAAATATATGTTTATTGTAACTAGTTGTGACCAACTCGATCACATACCGTTACAGTTATAATTGATCTGATCACAAACAGACACACTGACGTCAATTTTGGTCACATTGAAGATAAATTTGGTCATAATTAGTCATAGATAACACAGTTAGTCACAAAATCTAGAGTGGTTCCATGGGGGGTAGGGTGTAATCTCTAAAAAATAAAATTCTTTGAATTTTTTATCGGGTAGGATAGGATAGGATAGGATAGGATAGGATAGGATCGGGTGGGGTGGGGTGGGGTGGGGTGGTTCCGGGTGGGGTGTAATCCCCATAAAATATTTTAATTTTTTGAAATTTTGTACAATTTGGGGTTAATGTGGGGTAGGGTAAGGTGTGGTTTAGGGGATGAGGTGTAATCTCGAGAAAAGTTTTCAATTTTTGAAATTTTTTTATAGATGAGGTGGATGGGTCTATGGGGGTGGGGTGGAGTGATCCGTGGGATATTATTAATTTGTTCCAATTAATTAATAAATAATTTGACGAAGCTGTTAGTTTTGAAAAGTAATTCTTATATGTCTACTAGTTTTTGCCCTTGCATTACACGAGATTGGTTATTTTGTAGGCAATTTTAGCACGTTAAATGTGTTGAATTCTCCTTCATTCAATTATATTTTTTGTATACAATATTTCATAACTTAACTTGTGATATCAGTAAAATTGTATAGTAAATACCTAACAGAAGTTATGATGACATCAAAGAAAAAAAGATTAGGGTTGATTAACTTGCATGTAAATTGGAATTTAAGAAAATGTTATTACCAATGTTTGACAAAAAATTACAATGTTCGCAACAATTTAATATTTGAAGCAACAAGCACAGAGTCTCATCGAAGATGACATACTGAAACTGGTGTATCACTATTAACCAGTACCAAGTCGCATATTGATAATGATCTTATGGTATTTACCCATCGGCTAGGTAAATACATGACATTTTGTTGGATATGGTATTTCGTCTTGTTAACTTTAGTTATCTTCTCCGAACATTTATTAATGCCTGCAGTAGCCTCTAAACTATTTCTTTGTACTCATTTAGAAACTCCAGTTGAAAGAATAGCAACTTTCTAAATACGTGCCAAAATTTATTACAGAAACATGATGGTAAACTTTAAGAGCAAATCATTACTAATTTAGTTACTAAGCAGCACATAAGAAAAATGCAAGTGCAAAATAATGCAAACACATCAACCATGGGGATAAGACAACTTCTGTTTGTAACTGTATTGTGGGAGTCTATTTAGTTGTTCTTTAGTATGAATCAAATGAGTTTAACTGATATTTCAAACAATTTTTTGCGAGAATCGACCTGCCCTGTTAGGTCGCAAGGCCCGAAAGGAATTCTGATTTTCATGTATGTGTTGAAAAGATATAACTTAAATTTCAATATATTTTAATATAAATACAAACAGTACATATCAAATAATTAATAAGTAAAATTGTATTTAGTTTATGTAAAATGTAAGCAAATGTTATTGCCTAAATTTAATAACAAGAAAAAGAAGAGTCAATTTGAAAAAAAAAATGAAGACTTGTATCTATTATATATATATATGTCTTCGCGGTGCATGGAGACACGATGTCTCTATACGGAGGTTTTCTCCGTGCTGCCTGTGTCTTCGTGTGGAGATGATTACGCCAAAAGAATAACATTGTAGTTGTAGTGCAGCTTTGGGGTGTCTATCCACATGGAGATGGAAGAATGTTTAAAGGAGATCAATAACTTAGAGTTCTTGTGATTTGGATGAAAATAATTT